AGCTGACTATTTTTATCCTACAAATCTTAGTTTCATTACCATCATTATCCTTATCAATTAATAACTGTAAACTTGTTATATTACATTTCAAACGCAAAATAAATAATACAACTCGAAAAAAAAGGAGAATCGGCAAAACAGTGCAAAAATTGACCGACCCAACAATGTGTTTCCAAAGCTAGATGAGCACTGTTCACGATAAGAATTCCTGAAGAAAGCAAGAAACCAAATGTGCAGCAACCGCATGTCGTATCCCAATAAGTCTGAAATTAATTTTCTGAAATTATTTTTAGCAGTAAACCGCTACACTGTGAATAATAGCTGATGATATCCGCTGTAATTATCAGTATTGTGGTTCAACTGATAATAATAATGATACGATCTAGTGCTCATATTAATAGCCTCATTCAAGAGCAGCCTGTATGAGACTGACTATATGACCTAAGACCAGTCCAAATGAAGATAATTATANAAATAAATGAACAAATACAAAAAACTCACGAAATGAGCAATAAAATAAATGGCAGCAGCTTGCCATAATGCATCAGTAATATTCAACCAAAAATGCCATCCACGGTACAACTGAAGAGAATTTTCAGAATTTGATTTGGAAATTTTTGAAGAAAAATTGAAAATTTCAGTTTGATTCGCAAAATTCATCCGAATTCAATACTCATGCAATTGGAAATGTGCAATAAGCAATAAGCAAAGTCTGATTTTAGATTTAGCTGCAAAACATTGTTCTGAAACAAGAAAATCGGGAGACAATTCAAAAAACCTTTCTGGAGGTACGAAAAGGAAACCTTCAAAAGCAACAAACCTTTCCTTCCCGGCCAATTGTGTACAATTCTGGTTTCTTATAGAGAATTTTCCGGTGTGCAACTTGATCATAGACTCCAAAGAAAAGTGGTTGTGCTCTGAACAATTTGAATTTTATGTTTTATCCATACTATGTGATAAAATTGTGAGGAATTTGCAAATGAGAGAGAAAATTTCAGAAAAAAATTGAATTTGAAAAAAAAAGATTAACCCCGTAAAAATAATCGGATAAGTCATCATGAAAATTTGATCCATTGGTGTTTCACCGGAGAACCCGTTGAATATTTGAACCCAGAATATTACAAAGACAAACATCTGAAAGAATAATCTGACGTTGTGAATTTATCATACAACCAAAGTCATATCATGAAAATTGTACTGTCGTACCAGCAACCCTGGTGCTACTTGTATTGTTTCAGGCTGAACTACTCAGTTTGTAACGATTGCTCTGTGATAATGTACAGAGCTTTGTGATGTGTGGAATTGTTCGTTCAGTAAATTCCTGATTTTCTGGAATGTAAGTCTGGATTCTAGGAGGAAATTGCTTGAATTCGAATGAAACTCAATAAAATGAACGAAATGAACTAATCGTATGTAAATTCTAATGGAGCACTCAGGATCAGTTGAAAATGTAAGATTGAAATGAAAGATATGAGAAGTTATTCAGACATTACCGCGTTTTTATACAGAAAATAGAGAAATGTTCGTGCAAGTCGATCATAACACCAGTGCCCGTGAACCATTAGCAGTGTACGCAAGAATCGAAAACGTGCTATCGCAAAATCAGATGCCATTACAGCCTTAAACATTTGAATAAGCAACGAACAAGATTCATTCTTATTTCTATCGTTTATTATTGACATATTATACAATAGCAAGTATTTCAATCAAGCCGAATGATAATTTCATCAGAAATAAACCTGCCTGCATTCCTTCTTGTCCAGATATTCCAATACCAACATCAGCACACTGTATCATCGGCACGTCGTTTGCCCCATCCCCAATAGCTAGCACTTTTCCTTTCAGAGATTTCTTGACAAGTTTAACGATTTCAGCTTTATTTGAGGGTGTCATTCGATAGCACAGAACTGAGAGCGATCTAAGAGTAGAATCTGATCAACTTTGATCAAGCTTTCACTGGAATATCCTTGAACACGCAAGGCAATATCGTCACCGCAATATCGTTCAGGTGTTCATTCACCAAAGTTTTTGAGTGCTTTATGATTTGTACATTAGTTCTGATGAATATCTAATGATACAGGCAATATTCTAATCAGTCTCATTCAGACTAATACCATACAGGTTTTGAAGTCAAGAGCGAAGCTGAATCAGGTTTAAGCTTCACATTATTACCAGTGAAAGAGTGCCAAGCTAGTTCCATTGCTGACCTCGTTTACCAATAGTGTTAGATATGCTAGATATATGAAATCATGCAAGACTTGATGATCTGCTGATCAGTAACAGTGAATCAAAATCGAAACAACGCTAAAATTTACCAAAAGGACCAAAATTGAAACAATACTAAAATCTAGATATTAC